CATGCCTGTAATCCTAGCTACTCGGGAGGCTGAGGCAGGAGAATTGCTTGAACTCAGGAGGGGAGGCTGCAGTGAGCAAGAATGTGCCACTGTGCTCCAGCCTGGGCAACAAAACTACATCTTAAAAAAAAAAAAAAGATGTGAGATAAAAGGTATAACTCAATTTTTTTTTTTGAGACAGAGACTTGCTCTTTTACCAGGCTAGAGTGCAATGGTACGATCTCGGCTCACTGCAACCTCTGTCTCCTGGATTCAAGCGACTGCCCTGCCTCAGCCTCCTGAGGTGCACACCACCATGCTGGCTAATTTTTTTTTTTTATATTTTAGTAGAGATGGTGTTTTACCATGGCCAGGATGGTCTCTATCTCTTGACCTCATGACCTGCCTGCCTTGGCCTCCCAAAGTGCTGAGATTATAGGTGTGAGCCACTGCACCTGTCCCCAATTTTTATAAAATAAAAACAAATGTTTGTATGTACATAAGTCTGACAGAATGCACACTCACCTACAATATTAATTTTTTAAGGCAGGAGAATCTGGGGTTTCCCTTCTGTGTAGGGCAGAAGTTATTTACATTGTTTTCTCTTATGCATATATTAGTTTTATAATTAAAAACCACAATTAAAAAAAATAGGATACAATGGCAGCTGCATAGAAAACATGCTAAAACAATGTTAAGATTCACCTCAAGGAAACCAGTTAGGAGGCTACTGCAATAAAATCCAGGTGAGATGCCAGGTGAGACTGTGCCTCAGTCTACCTGCTAGTGTATAGGATGAGTATCCCTTATCCAGAATGCTTGGGGCCAGAAGTGCTTTGGATTTTGGAATATTTGCATTATACCTTCCAGTTGAGCATCACAAATCTGAAAATCCAAAAATTTAAATGCTCCTATGAGGACTTCTTTTCAAAGTCACAATGGTGCATAAATAGTTTCAGGTTTTGGAGCATTCTGAATTTCAGATTTTCAGATTTGAGATGCTGAAACTGTTCCAAGATCACTGGGCCAAAATCAGAGGGTAAATTCCAATCCCAACCAAGCAGAGCACAATCCCTTGCTGAGTACTCCTGAAGATGATCTCCTCACCCAAGGGGCACATGTAGTTGGGACCATTTTCTAACTACTGATTGCTAGTGCTGTACCCACCATGGCTGCTAACACCTAAAACCAAAAAATACTTGGTTTCACAGCATGATTGCAGGCTCTCCTTTCCAAGCTACATAGGAATCCTGTTAGACCTAAGTATCCATCATCTAATAGACTGCTAGGATTTAATCTATACTCCCTCTAAATTTTGTTTTCGTTGGTCATGGTCCCCAGTCTGATCTTTTTTCCTCTATCAATACTGTATCCCTCATGCCAAAGCCATAAACTCTAAACCTTTGCCCTTCTGGAGACTCTTTCATGGTGCCCTCTGAGATTCCCAAGTAATAAACTTCCTTAACATCCTCAACTATTTCCCTGAACATTTTCTTGCATTAAATTTGGCTGTTACCTGGGGAGAAAAAAACACCTACCTGACAATAATCACACCAAAGGGGGGCTTATTCCCATGTACTCCACATATCTATAGGTTAGAAAGTAGGATCAGTATCTTCCTTGCTCCCTAACATTGCTTCTAACCATTGTAGCCTTGTAAAAATCACTCCTTTGAGTTCGTAACATCTAGTTATACCACTTTCTCCCTGTTTCTGGCTTTTATTTAAATGCCCTTTCCTCATTCACTTAGACTTTGCTAGTTGCTTTGATGCCATCTCCACTGATGGCCCTATTGGTAACTTCGAAGGACTTTCAAATATATAGAGATCTTCTTCACTAAAATCTCCCTCCAGTATTTCATCCACCTTACTCTTAGCAGACAACCTTACCATGAAACCTATAATCCCATGTGTACATTTTTTTGGCCATGAACAGTAGAAATGGCATCTCTTGGCTACAAAGAGGCTGGGATAAGTATTTTTGTAGCTAGATACGATACTACTGTTAGCAAAACTGAAGACCTATTCATAAAGAATACAAACACAAATATTTGGTTAGTAATCAGCAGTGACTCCCACATAGTAGCTCTTAGGAAACACAAACAGCATTATATAGTTCACATATTCTAACCACTGCTCAGTGAACTTAGGTGTATGTAAACATACAGGTAATTTAAACCAACCCATCCATTTCTCCTTTACTCCTGAGACAATGGTGGGAGTATCCCTCCTCCCATGGCAAATACCAATCCTTCTGTTTGTGCTCTAAACATCTCCATAACATTCACAGAAACTTATATTAAACTTTATTAAGCTGCATGTTAAACCTCACCATACTATATGTATCACATTAGGATTTGAACATGTTCTAGTTTTTCATATTTTAAACGTAATTAAACTCTTTACTCCAAATCTCTCCAGCTACTACCCTTTCTCCTATTATTCAAACTTGTCTACATCCAGTCTTTACTTCTTTGCCCTTTATTGATTCCCAGTCTAGCACCCATCTTCAGCAAACCACTATGTTATTTCCAAGTACAATCACAAATGATTATAGACTATAACAGGCTCTGTGAAGGTGAGTAAGAATGATGTCTAAAAAGGTAAACATATACAGCCATCTTCACATGTCTGTATGTTTACTTTCTTAGACTTCATCTAATTTGATCCCTAAGTAACAATGAAAATAGTTAACTTCACCTTTCTTTTTTTTTTTTTTGAGAAGGAATCTTGCTGTGTCATCAGGCTGGAGTGCAGTGGTGTGATCTCAGTTCACTGCAACCTCTGCCTCCTGTTCAAGCAATTCCCCTCCATCAGCCTCCTGAGTAGCTGGGACTACAGGCACGTGCCACCATGCCCGCTAATTTTTGTATTTTAGTAGAGACAGGGTTTCATCATGTTGGCTAGGATGGTCTAGATCTCCTGGCCTCGTGATCCACTTGCCTTGGCCTCCCAAAGTGCTGGGATTACGGGCGTGAACTACTGTGCCCAGCCAACTTCATCTTCCTTTTTGAAACTCATTTGTTCTTCTTGTTTTCCTCTTATCTCTCTACTGTGGTTCCTTTAAATGCATGTCTTCAGGCTAGGTCAGACATTCTCTTTTCATGCTTATTCACCTTCACAAAGTCTGTTAGAGTCTATTTGCTAATGTCATTAAAATTTATATCTCTATCTAGACAGCTCCTCAGGTCTAGAACTGCGTACCAACCTCTTCATCTGGATCTCTCACAATCCTCTGAAATTAACACAAACAACTAAAACAGCAACTAGTGCCTTCCTTCCTCCACATGCTGTCCCTTCCACATGTTGTTTCCTAACGAATTAGAACTAACTTGGTCAGAATCTGCAAGACCAACCAGCAAAATCTCATGCTTTATTTCGCATTTAAAATTGGTAACTTCCGGCCGGGCGCGGTGGCTCAAGCCTGTAATCCCAGCACTTTGGGAGGCCGAGGCCGGTGGATCACGAGGTCGAGAGATTGAGACCAACCTGGTCAACATGGTGAAACCCCGTCTCTACTAAAAATACAAAAAATTAGCTGGGCATGGTGGCGCGTGCCTGTAATCCCAGCTACTCAGGAGGCTGAGGCAGGAGAATTGCCTGAACCCAGGAGGCGGAGGTTGCGGTGAGCCGAGATCGCGCCATTGCACTCCAGCCTGGGCAACAAGAGCAAAACTCCGTCTCAAAAAAAAAAAAAAAAAAAAAAAAAATTGGTAACTTCCCCTCTATCTGAAAACTTTCTGTAGTTCCAATGCTGAAATGTTGGGATAATCTTTTTGCTGCCCTAAACACTTGCTTTCAGTGATCTTGGATCTATCTTCATCTGTTACCTAAGCACAAAAGTTCTGTCAACATTCCTTTTCCATGCTCTTTTTTTTCTATGTTCCTCTTCAAATGTATACATCCAACATAAAAGTTAACTCAATATACCTGTTGTTTTTTTTCCTACAATATGGTGACTGCCTTGACTGCATTTATGTACTGCTTAAAAAAAAATCAGTTAAGGGCCAGGCATGGTGACTCATGCCTGTAATCCTAGCACTTTGGGAGGCAAAGGCAGGAGGACTGCTTGAGCCCAGGAGTTTGAGACCAGCCTGGTGTCCGAGACCACCAGCCTGTAGAGACAGGAAGAGCCTGTCTCTACAAAATATATTTTTTAAAATTAGCGAGGCATGGTGGCACGCATTTGTGATCTCAGCTACTGAGGAGGGGTCACTTGAGCCCAGGAGGTCAAGGCTGCAATGAGCTGTGACCACACCACTGCACTCCAGCCTGACAGAGATCCTGTCTGAAAAACTGAAAAAGAAAAAAATCAATTAATATATTTTTCTCCCATAGAAACGTGTCCAATACAAGTAATGGAGGGCTGGTACAACTATTTACAGATTTCTTTGAGGAACAAGGTTCTCTTTCTTCTACTTCATCCTTAGGCCACAGTTGTCACTCTCATGGCCACCAGCTCTAGGAATGGCAAATTCACAGGCAAAAAGGTAAAGTGCAAAACGTAGAGGACAAGATAGACAGTTCTGTTCCCAGTGAGATCAGTCTATTTCTGAATCTGCAGGAATGAATGACATGGCTACCCTAGGCTACAAGAAGTCAAAGAAGAATTCTATAACCAGAGATCTTGTTGTTCTTGACTAAAATGGAATTCATTAGTAAGGAAAGATGAGCTCAGTGTTTGGTTGGCTACTAGCAATAGCAGCCTCATTGGGCCATACAACAACTTTCACAAAAACACCAACAAAGCAGTAAAATATAGTCCAGATGCTCCAGAAATGATAGAACTAACCTAGAAACCAACAATTAAAAGATAACTGAAAATATACATACCTCATATATTAAAAATACCTGATTCTAGGTAGCCATGGATCAAAAAAGTCATTAGACAGTATTTACAGAACAAGGTATATTATGAAAGATTTATAACTTTAAATGGTTATTCTAGAGAACAAAGACTAAGACAAGGAGATTGGAATCTACCTTAAGACAATGAAAACAGCAATTCCACATTCATAACACTTATAGGATTTCTCTCCCAGTATGAATTCTCTTGTGTATAATAAGTGAAGAGCTCTGACTAAATGCTTTTCCACACTGAATACATTCATAGGGTTTCTCTCCAGTGTGAACTCTCACATGTCTCCTAAGGGAAGATGAAACACTGAAGGCTTTCCTACATTCCTTACATTCATAGGGTTTCTCTCCGGTGTGAGTTCTTACGTGCATTCTAAGGGATGAGAGTCCACTGAAAACTTTCCCACAGTCACTGCATTTATAAAGATTCTCTCCAGTGTGAATTTTCTTATGAACTTTAAGGTGAGAGCTCGTGTTGAAGGCTTTTCCACACTCACTGCATTCATAGAGTTTTTCTCCAGTGTGTATTCTCTTGTGCACTATAAGGTAGGAGCTTGTGCCAAAGGACTTTCCACACTGATTACATTCATAAGGTTTCTCTCCAGTGTGAGTTCTCACATGAGCATTAAGGGATGTTTTTTGACTGAAAGCTTTTCCACACTGATTACATTCATAGGGTTTCTCTCCAGTGTGAGTTCTTAAATGTCTCCTTAAAGTTGAGGAATCACTGAACACTTTACTGCATTCTTTACATTCATATTGTTTCTCACCCATGTGACTTTTCTGGTGTAAAATAAGATTAGAAATCCTTTTGAAGGCTTTTCCACATTGATTACATTCATGTTTCTTTTCTGTATGAGTCTGTCCTTGTTTCTTAAGGGATGATTGATAACACAGGGTTTTGTTTTCATTACATTCACAAGAATTCTGTGCCACATGCAAATTGTTAGGTATAGTAAACATATAATGCTTGAAGTGCATTCTATGTTTAGAATATATGCACTGTTTTTGTACTGTTTGATTTCTCTGAAGATGCCATAGCTTTGTATCATATTCATGACTCTCATAGAGCTTCTCACTTACAGAGTTTTTCACATAATTGTTTATGATTGAATTGTATTTCGAACATCCAATCTCTGAGTAACAGTTTTGACAATGTTTACTGGTGAAAATGCTCGGTGAAAAAATAAGTTTTGATCTATGTTTAGAGTTTTCCTCTAATTCATAATAGCCACAGAACAGCTCCTGAGATACTGTTTCCTTTGGGGCATATGTCACGTGCCTCCAATGTCCCCCAGGAACCTTACACTGTTTTCTGATCTTATGGCACTCCCAGTTATCTCTTAATGTGTAGGACCAATTATCCATTGCAAATTTTATGTTCACTGCATTGAATGGTTCCTCTACCAAAATATTCTGCATAGTTGACTCTTTGGTTTTAGGTTGAATCTTCTCATCTGGACAGATGCCTTGGGGATTTCTCTTTTCCATATTCCTTATCTCTTCTTGATGCAATGGGGAGATCACAGTAAGCCTGCACAACTGATATTCCACAGAGGTGAGATTTCGATAGTTTTCCAACATCACATCTTTGTATAGACTTCTTTGAGCAGAATCCAGCATTATCCACTCTTCCTGAGTGAACTCTACAGCTACATCTTCGAAGGTCATTGGTTCCTGTAACCAGGTTGTCAGAAATACAGCAATCGTCCTTTCCTCTTCAGCATTTCTCAGATGGAAATATGCAGAGTCCTGTTTAGGCAAAGCCCATGTGGAGGATAGGTCAATAACTGCCATTCTGTGAGTACATAAGCCTACACAAAAGAACAGAGAGATCAGTATATTTCTATTCTTGTTTCTCCAATTCAGTCACAGGAGGGATGCATTTTCACCAGGAGTTCTCCCTGTAGCCAAAGAAGCAGGTTCAGGTAAAAGAGAGCTGGAAGCAGGGTCCCATTTGGTGAAAGGTGAATACAAAATTGCAGAGCCTCCCCATTATCTCTCAGCAAGGTCTAACCAGCTTAAAATCTTTAGTGGGACTGTATGGACATGTAACATAACCATCCTTACCCACTTTAAGAAATGCTGTCCTGATTCTTTGTACTGGCTTCTCCTGCAAACCACTTTCAGATCTGGGTGGCTGGAGCATGAGTTATTTTAAAAAATTAAAACTAAAGAGAACCAACCGGTTAATGCATGATTGTGCAAATAAATTTAATGGGCAACTTGCTACTTTTAAAGTTAACTTTTTGAGACAGAAAAAATAATTTCCCTATGAAACACCCCTGTTTTATAACTTATTTACAAGGATAACCTTACAGTTTGCCTTGTGGTAAAAGATGTTAAGAATTGTACTGCAGGTTTAATCCTTCATTCCTCATAGTTTTATTTCTTTTCTACCTGGAGGACTAATTACAGATACTAAACAACTTTACTAAACAACAGAAAAAAATATTTGAATAAATGGCAAGATTCACTAGGTGAATCACCATGAGATTTTGTTTAATCTATATATTTAACATGGATTTCCTGAAATGTGGTTTTTATATTTCATAAATACTATCAAGACAAATGGCTTTCTGTTTGAAAAAAACATCTCTTGCATTCACAAATTTCAGATGGATTAAAGATGTGCATATGTGTCTAACAGGAATTCCAGAAGAAAAGAATAAAGGGACTAGAAAAGAAGCAATGTGAGATATAACGATTGTTTTTACCCCAAGCCGAAAGGACACATAAGTCCTTGATTTGAAAGCCTACATCAGCCACCAGCTACACTGAAGGTAAACTGTAGAATATCAAGAATAATATGTGAAACGTTAAAGTTACTGAAGAGAAAAGGCTAATTATCTACAAAGGAATATAAATTATACTGACTACAGACTTCTCAGATGCAAAGATAGAGGCCAAGAGGGCAATATAATATCTTCAATTACTAAAGAAAAACAACCACCACCTAGAATTCAATCGTATGCTAAAGAGTGAGAGCAATATAAAAGGCATCTAGGCTGGGCACGGTGGCTCAGGCCTATACTCAGAACTTTGGAAGGCTGAGGTGGGTGGATCACCTGAGGTCGGCAATTCAAGACCAGCCTGGCCAACATGGTGAAACCCTGTCTCTACTAAAAATACAAAAAATTAGCTGGGCGTGGTGGCAGGCACCTGTAATCCCAGCTACTCGGGAAGCTGAGGCACGAGAATCGAGAACTGCTTGAACCTGGGAGGTGGAGGTTGCAGTGAGCTGAGATCCTGCTATTGCACTGCAGCCTGGGCAACAAAAGCAAAACTGCATCTCAAAAAAAAAAGAAAAAAAAAAAAAAAAAAAAAAAAAAAGCATCTATATGGGTGTGTGTGTTTATCACTCAAGGCAGTTCCTTAAGGAACCACTAAAAGGATGTATACTGAACTCAGCAGAAAGCAGTGGGGTGTCAGAGTAAAACAAAAGCAAAGGGGGAATTCAGAGGAAACCATATAAGCAACAGAAAACAAACTTCAAAGCAGCAATAGCATCTTCAAAAGAGCACGTAATAAGAGAAATTGTAATTAAAACAACATGGAGATATAGTATTTCTATGGAAAAAACAGAGAGACTTCAAATCGTATGAATGTTATTTGGACCATGAGTCAAAGAAATAAGTTCTTAAAATATTTATGAGAAAAGAGAAAAATCTTAACACGGCCAATGTAGTTATTATTTACCTATTTTTTTTACAGATAGGTTCTCACTATGTTGCCCAGGCTGATCTTGAAATCCTGGCTTCAGTGAGCCTCCCCCTTGGCCTCTTAGCCTCTTGAATGCCTGCGACTACAGGTACACACCAACCCCCTCTCCTGGCTTTTGCCTGTAAATTTGATATAAAGGAATTATAAATGTTGCAGGCGTGAGAATATCCTACTTAGGATTTTTTTTTTGTTATGGAGTCTCACTTTGTCACCCCGGCTGGAGTGCAGTGGTGTGATCTCAGCTCACTGCAACCTTCACCTCCTGGGTTCTAGAGATTCTCCTGCCTCAGCCTCCCAAGTAGCTTGGACTACAGGCGTGCACCACCACGCCCAGCTAGTTTTTGTATTTTTAGTAGAGATGGGGTTTCACCGTATTGACCAGGATGGTTTGAAACTACTGACCTCGTGATCTGACTGTCTCAGTCTCCCAAAGTGCTGAGCTTACAGGTGTGAGCCAGCACACCCGGGCCATGATTTTTAAAGGAGTACTTATCATTCAGAAATACATTTGGAAATGTTTACAAATAATATATAATGTCCACGATTTGCCTCGAAATTGAATTATGGCATCTTTTTCACAAGATGGCACTGATGGTGAAGAAGGAAACTCCTGCCTCTCCTAAGGCTGAAGCCAAAGCAAAGGCTTTGAAGGCCAAAAAGGCAGTGGTGAAAGCATCCACAGCCACAAAAAAAAAAAAAGAAGATCCACATGTCACTCACCTTCTATCAGCCCAAGACACTGAGACTCTGGAGGCAGTCACGTATCTTCGGAAGAGCATCCTCAGTAGAAACAAGACTGACCACCACGCTGTCATCAAATTCCTACTGACTACTGAGTCTTCCATGAAGAACATAGAAGATAACACACTCATGCTCACTGTGGATCTTAAAGCCAACAAGCAACAGGCCAACAAGCCTTCTTCACAGTCTTGCGGAGAAGCTCTACGACACTGGTGTGACCTATGTCCACACCGTGACCAGGCCTGATGAACAGAAGAAGGCGTATGTTTGACTGGCTCCTGGTTACCATGCTCTGGATGTTGTCAACAGAATGGGGATAAACTGAGTCCGGATGGCTAATTCTAAATGTGTATATCTTCTCACCAGAAAAAAAAAATAAGATGATAGGTACACAATACTATATTTTTGTATGTGTTTGAAAACTTCATAATTTAAAAAATAATCAGAGAGATATTTCCTATATGAAATACAGGAAATAAGAACAGAACTCTATGGATTTTTTTGTTTAATTTCCCAGGAAATAAAAAATTATAATTTAAAAACTCCCCCAAAAGGTACAAGGGTTAAAAGATAAACTTAAGGAACTTTTTTTGAAAGCTGATCCTGACTGGGCACAGTGGCTCACGCCTGTAATCCCAAACTCTGGGAGGCTGAAGTGGGTCCCAACACTCTGAGAAGCTGAGGTGGGTGAATCATTTGAGGTCAGAAGTCCAAGACCAACCAGCCTGGCCAACATAGTGAAACCCCGTTTCAGCTAAAAATACAAACACATACACACACACACACACACACACACACACACACAGCTGGATGTGTTGGTGCACACCTGTAATCCCAGAAGCAGGAGAATTGCTTGCACCCAAGCTGAGACGTTCCACTGCATTCCAGCCTGGGCAACAGAATGAGACTCTAAAAAAATAAATAAATAAGGCCAGGTGCAGTGGCTTATGCCATAATCCCAGCACCCTGGGAGGCCGAGGCGGGCGGATCAGCCAAGGTCAGGAGTTTGCAGCTAGTCTGGCTAACATGGTTAAATCCTGTCTCTCCTAAAAATACAAAAATTAGCCAGGTGTAATGGTGGGCATCTGTAATCCCAGCTACCTGGGAGGCTGAGGCAGGAGAACTTCTTTGAACCCAGGGGTTCAAAGGAGGGCAGAAGTGGCAGTGAGCCAAGATCTCACCATTGCACTCCAGCCTAGGCGACAAGAGTGAGACTCTGTCTCAAAATAGAAATAAATAAAGCTGATCTAAAAGAAAACGACTAAGTGAAAAAAGACAACTACATGAGCAATTTTAATGTCTAACTCCAGATTATTCAGAGTTCCAGAAAGACAAAATGAGAGGAAGAAACAAATACAGGGAAACTTCTTTTTCTTTCTTTTTTTTTTTTTTTTTGAGACGGAGTTTCGCTCTTATTACCCAGGCTGGAGTGCAATGGCACGATCTCCGCTCATCACAACCTCCGCCTCCTGGGTTCAGGCAATTCTCCTGCCTCAGCCTCCTGAGAAGCTGGGATTACAGGCACACGCCACCATGCCCGGCTAATGTTTTGTATTTTTAGTAGAGACGGGGTCTCACCATGTTGACTGGGATGATCTCGATCTCTTGACCTTGTGATCTACCCGCCTCGGCCTCCCAAAGTGCTGGGATTACAGGCTTGAGCCACCGCGCCCGGCCCAAGGGAAACTTCTTAATCTCAAAAAAAAAAAAAAAAAAAAAAAAAATCAAATCACAGTATCTAACAATTGATCCATCAAAGCAAGTAATTTCTTTAAATAATTAGAACACATATCATCATGAAATTTTTGAATACCAAAGAACTCCAAGAGATGATAAATAGACTACATATAAAGGAACATTAGGAGATATGAAATAGTCCTCTCAACAGTAGCAGTAACACTGCTCCATTTTCTATCAGCTGCACTGACTTTCAAAATTCTACTGAAAAGTAATTTCCTGTTGAGATTTGTATACTAGGTGAAAACACCACACAAACATGAAGACAAAGTAATTTCCAATCATTTCTACAACTTTAATAAGTGTAGATCACATGGACCCTTTTTCAAGGAAGTAAGAAGATTACAACCCACCAAACAGGAATAGAAATACTTTACAGGAAACAGGAGATCTAATACAGAGGTGAGATGAGGAAACTGATGAGGGTAAAAGGGAAGCCCAATAATATGCCAGTATGGTGCATGCCTACAGAGTAACTCATCATTCTAGATTGTAGGGGGATGTCCAGGAAAAGAGAAAAGTCGTAAGACTGTATGACAGATTAGACCTTGAGGAAAATGGAACCAAAAGACATTTTACATAGGTTTCAGAAAAACTAAGCAAATGAATAAAAAAGGCAGTCATTAAAAACCAGAAAAATACACCTGGTACAAGAGAGAAACATTATGGCTCACTACTAAGGACTACATAGTCATCAAATAAAAACACTGAACATATTTATCCAAAATTTGTGGGAGAACTACATTATAATATTTGTAAAATAATTACATTGTGATTTAAGGATGTGGAAAGAAGGCAGCCAAAGTTCTTATTTAACATGATAAAAATTTTAAAATGTCTCAAATTGGTGAATAGGAAAATAGTGACAGGAGTTCCAAGCCAGAACTGCTTAAATATTTCCAAGTGATTGTCACTAGGAAGAGAAAGGGTTAAGGTGTTTCCTGTTTTTATTATGAGTGTTTTATCATATTCAGCTCTTATAAATGTATACACACAGCCTGGAGCAGTGGCTCAGGCCTGTAATCTCAGCACTCTGAAAGGTCGAGGGGGGCAGGTCACGAGGCCAGGAGATCGAGACCATCCTGAAGAACACGGCGAAACTCCGTCTGTACTAAAAATACAAAAAAATTAGGCGTGGTGGCACACCCCTGTAGTCCCTGCTACTCGGGAGGCTGAGGCAGGAGAACTGCTTGAACCCAGGAGGAGGAGACTGCAGTGAGCCAAGATTGCGCCATTGCACTACAGCCTGGGTGACAGTGCGAGACTCCATCAACACCCCCCCCAAAAAAAATTATACATACATTTCTTGGAGCACAAATACAGAGAAATAAATTAATTACACAGTCAAATCAAGAAGCAAAGCAGATGACCGGGCGCGGAGGCTTAAGCCTGTAATGCTAGTACTTTGGGAGGCTGAGGTGGGCGGAATGCCTGAGCTCAGGAGTTCCAGATCAGCCTGAGCAACATGGTTAAACCCCGCCTCTCAAAAAAAAAAAAAAATTAACCAGTCGTGGCAGCGTACACCTATGGTCCCAGCTATTCGGGAGGCCGAGGCAGGAGAATGGCTTGAACCCAGGAGGCGGCAGAACTTGCAGTGAGCCGAGATCATGGCACTGCACTCCAGCCTGGGCGACAGGGCCAGAGTCCGTCTCCCAGAAAAAAAAAAAACATTATTAGCCAGGTGTGGTGGCAGGCGCCTATAATCCTAGGTACTGGGGAGGGCAGAGGTACTGGGGAGGGCAGAGGCACTGGTGGCGGAGGCTGCAGTGAGCCGAGATTGTGCCACTTCACTCCAGCTTGGGTGAAACAGCGAAACTCCGTCTCGAAAAAAAAAAGGAGAAAATAGCAACAAAGTAAAAGAAAATTTAAAAATTAAGAGCAAAACTTACTATAACCGGAGCCCTTACCCCAAAAAAGGTAAGACCAAAACAACACAACAACCAAAAAACCCAAATTTACACCTTTGTAAAGACTAATGTACACTTACACCTTATAGGAGTAATCAAGAAAAAAAGCTGAGATAATTAGGTTCAAAAAACAACTACAATTAGAGCAGTTATTTTAAAATATTAAAAATAGTAATTTTTAAAATCACCATAAAAATTACTTATAGTGATAAAATGGCAAGGTCAATTTTATGCCAACAAATATGGAAAATTAGATTTAAAAAAGATTAAAAACAATTCTCCAGGAAAAGGCACCTAACACTGTCTCAATACGAACTAAAAAATAATCAATGAGACTTTTAAAAAATTGAGTCAGAAGTTAAATACGTACTGAAAATTCTAAGACGAAAAGTTCTGCATGTAAATTTGACCAAACTTTGGAGAGGGGGCGGGGCGGGGGGCCGCGGTGGCGGGGACTGTGTTAGAGAACAGACGAGAGGCCGCGCCGTCTGAATTGGGGACCGTCTCAGAGAACAGACGGGAGGCCGCGCCGTCCCAATTGGGGACCGTCCTAGAGAACAGAGGAGAGGCCGCGCCGTCCCAATTGGGGACCGTCCTAGAGAACAGACGAGAGGCCGCGCCGTCCCAGTCGGGGACCGTCCTAGAGAACAGACGAGAGGCCGCGCCGTCCCACTTGGGGACCGTCCTAGAGAACAGACGAGAGGCCGCGCCGTCCCAGTCGGGGACCGTCCTAGAGAACAGACGAGAGGCCGCGCCGTCCCACTTGGGGACCGTCCTAGAGAACAGACGGGAGGCCGCGCCGTCCCACTTGGGGACCGTCCTAGAGAACAGACGAGAGGCCGCGCCGTCCCACTTGGGGACCGTCCTAGAGGACAGAGGAGAGGCCGCGCCGGCCCAGTCGGGGACCGTCCTAGAGAACAGACGAGAGGCCGCGCCGTCCCAGTCGGGGACCGTCCTAGAGAACAGACGAGAGGCCGCGCCGTCCCACTTGGGGACCGTCCTAGAGAACAGACGAGAGGCCGCGCCGTCCCACTTGGGGACCGTCCTAGAGAACAGACGGGAGGCCGCGCCGTCCCACTTGGGGACCGTCCTAGAGAACAGACGAGAGGCCGCGCCGTCCCAGTCGGGGACCGTCCTAGAGAACAGACGAGAGGCCGCGCCGTCCCACTTGGGGACCGTCCTAGAGAACAGACGAGAGGCCGCGCCGTCCCACTTGGGGACCGTCCTAGAGAACAGACGGGAGGCCGCGCCGTCCCACTTGGGGACCGTCCTAGAGAACAGACGAGAGGCCGCGCCGTCCCAGTCGGGGACCGTCCTAGAGAACAGACGAGAGGCCGCGCCGTCCCACTTGGGGACCGTCCTAGAGAACAGACGGGAGGCCGCGCCGTCCCACTTGGGGACCGTCCTAGAGAACAGACGGGAGGCCGCGCCGTCCCACTTGGGGACCGTCCTAGAGAACAGACGAGAGGCCGCGCCGTCCCACTTGGGGACCGTCCTAGAGAACAGACGGGAGGCCGCGCCGTCCCAGTCGGGGACCGTCCTAGAGAACAGACGAGAGGCCGCGCCGTCCCACTTGGGGACCGTCCTAGAGAACAGACGGGAGGCCGCGCCGTCCCAGTCGGGGACCGTCCTAGAGAACAGACGAGAGGCCGCGCCGTCCCACTTGGGGACCGTCCTAGAGAACAGACGAGAGGCCGCGCCGTCCCACTTGGGGACCGTCCTAGAGAACAGACGGGAGGCCGCGCCGTCCCAGTCGGGGACCGTCCTAGAGAACAGACGGGAGGCCGCGCCGTCCCACTTGGGGACCGTCCTAGAGAACAGACGAGAGGCCGCGCCGGCCCACTTGGGGACCGTCCTAGAGAACAGACGGGAGGCCGCGCCGTCCCAGTCGGGGGACCGTCCTAGAGAACAGACGGGAGGCCGCGCCGTCCCACTTGGGGACCGTCCTAGAGAACAGACGGGAGGCCGCGCCGTCCCACTTGGGGACCGTCCTAGAGAACAGACGGGAGGCCGCGCCGTCCCAGTCGGGGACCGTCCTAGAGAACAGACGGGAGGCCGCGCCGTCCCACTTGGGGACCGTCCTAGAGAACAGACGAGAGGCCGCGCCGGCCCACTTGGGGACCGTCCTAGAGAACAGACGAGAGGCCGCGCCGTCCCACTTGGGGACCGTCCTAGAGAACAGACGGGAGGCCGCGCCGTCCCACTTGGGGACCGTCCTAGAGAACAGACGGGAGGCCGCGCCGTCCCAGTCGGGGACCGTCCTAGAGAACAGACGGGAGGCCGCGCCGTCCCACTTGGGGACCGTCCTAGAGAACAGACGGGAGGCCGCGCCGTCCCACTTGGGGACCGTCCTAGAGAACAGACGAGAGGCCGCGCCGTCCCACTTGGGGACCGTCCTAGAGAACAGACGGGAGGCCGCGCCGTCCCACTTGGGGACCGTCCTAGAGAACAGACGAGAGGCCGCGCCGTCCCACTTGGGGACCGTCCTAGAGAACAGACGGGAGGCCGCGCCGTCCCACTTGGGGACCGTCCTAGAGAACAGAGGAGAGGCCGCGCCGTCCCACTTGGGGACCGTCCTAGAGAACAGACGGGAGGCCGCGCCGTCCCACTTGGGGACCGTCCTAGAGAACAGACGAGAGGCCGCGCCGTCCCACTTGGGGACCGTCCTAGAGAACAGACGGGAGGCCGCGCCGTCCCACTTGGGGACCGTCCTAGAGAACAGACGGGAGGCCGCGCCGTCCCACTTGGGGACCGTCCTAGAGAACAGACGAGAGGCCGCGCCGTCCCACTTGGGGACCGTCCTAGAGAACAGAGGAGAGGCCGCGCCGTCCCACTTGGGGACCGTCCTAGAGGACAGACGGGAGGCCGCGCCGTCCGGGGCCGTCCGCGCCTTCGGGGAGCCCTGTTCGCATCCCGGCACGGACAGCACACACCTACGGCAACAGGTGAGAAGCAGACGATCCACGGCTGGGATTCGACCCGCCCCTCGATTTAGAAATTCAAGGAGGCTGCTGGACAGCGAGGCGCGCCCGCTCCGCCTCCCCGGCTCATTCAGAGAGGGGCAGACGCGCGCCCGCAGCCCCCCGGGGCCCACCCGGGGCCCCTGCACCCCGCGCGCCGCGGCTCCCCACTCGCTTCCCGCGCGCGGCCGGCCCCCGTAAAGGGCCCCTCCTCCCTCAGGGGCCTCTCCCGCTGCCGCCTCCCCGCTGCCCAGACGCCGGTGAAGCAGCCCCTGCACGCAGGAGAAGGCGGCGGGCCAGGCTGAGCCCACGACCGACTCGTCCCGGGTGAAAGAGCCACCGCCCCGCACGCTCACCGGTCATCTCCGCCGGCCTCCAGGTGTCGGCGGTCCCGGCTGAGGGGGACGCGGCGCCGGACTACATTTCCCAGGAGCCCGCGCGCCGCCCCGCGGAGGAGCCTGGGCTGCGCTGTCAAGGCTGAAGTCCCGCAGGGTCCGGCACGGAGGGTCCGTCGCGGCGCCAGTGTCGGGTCACCGGCTCGAGGGACCCAGGGCGCGCGCCTGACGGGCTGGGGGCCGGCGCGCAGACTGAACGCGGGGCCGGGGCGCGTGCGCGTGCGCGCGCGGCAGGGGCGGGCGCAGGCGTGACGGGCCGGGGGCGGGGCGCGTGAGCGTGCGTGACGTCAGGCGGGGCGCGGGTCCTCGGACCCGGGTCTGACGCCGCTCCTCGCGCGGCGCCGGTGAGTGGAGTCGCGCTCTGGGTGTCGCGGTCGCTGCTGCCTTTGTGATCCCGTGGAACCCTCTGGTTACTTACCGCGGGTATATGCGGAAGTGCGGGGTTCTGCGTGTGTGCATCGGGGAGGCGCGCGCCGAGCGCTCCGGTTGTGCCGCGGCACCAGCGCCGTTTCTCTGGGTGGACCGTGATTTTGTCCGTGAGACATTTTCGCGGTGTTCGTCACCGCGTGCCCGAGTCACTGTCGGTCCCTCGCGCGGCCCCGGAGCTCACGGCGGACGCGCCTGTTCTGCGGAGGAGAACGGCCGCGCCTGGAGGCTGACGGAGCGGGCGGCGGCGGAGGTAAGTTTGAACCAGGTGTTTGGAGTGAGCGAAACCGAGGCTGCTTCCGTCCCTCCCTCCCGGTTTCCCCGCAGCTGGGATGGGCGTTGGGAACGTTGCATCTGCTGAGACGGCGAAGCCGGTCTGCGTGTGGTCTTTCAAAAACAAATCCTGCATCTCTGCTCCCAGCTTCCTCGTCTTCAGTTCTGTTTTTTGATCAAATAGGTTAACTGGAGGGATGTTTCTATGTTTGATCTACTTTTTTTATTTTCAGAGACAGATCATAAATTTAATGACTATGTTTTTATTTTCCCTTGACACTAGATTTGTTAATTAAAATTAGACGTACGCCATCTGACACATGGATGAGTATCAAAGATAAGGTTAACGTCAAGATTGTGTGCGTAGATCCCACCCGAAGTGTATGCAGAAGGTGAACAATTTCAACTCTAGCTATACGTTGTTAGCAGAAAGAGACTGTTAATTTTAAAAAATAAAAATAAAAGAGAAGGCAGGATGTCACCCGTATGCCAGCCAACAAATGTCACTAGGTTAGAGATGACTGCAGTTAGCTCTCCCAGAACTGGATAGCACACCTCTTCCCTACCCCCTTTAAAATCAGCTCGACGCTAACTTTTCACTTATGACATAACTAATCTTTTCTGTTTTATTAAAATTGTCTCTCCATCTTGCAGAGCCCTCCTGGATGGTTAAGTTGCACACGCTCCTGCCTCTTCTGGAAAATTACATTTATTTTTTCATTACTTCTCTCAGCACACGTTTCTTTAGCTCTTAGCATCTGCCAGTCACAAGGGCAGAGATCTGAGATATGCTTCATAAATTAAATGAGAATGTGTGCTTATCAATATTTTATAGAAGCACTGTCTGGAACTTCTACTTAGGCCAGTATTTAAGTTCATAGGAGGCTTACTTTCTGGAAAAGAGATTACAAAATTATCCTTATTAAATAATAAGTTGCCAAAATCAGAAGAGATTCAATTGTTATCAATAATTTGTAGTAAAGTGACCGAAATATATAAGCTAACAGATTGACTTACTGTCCTCAACAAGTTAGCACATACTTATGTTTTTAAAAAGTCTTCAAAAAGAGAAGAAAATAATTTTAGCTAAGAATATATGTGAAGTGGCCGGGCGCGGTGGCTCACGCCTGTAATCCCAGCACTTTGGGAGGCCAAGGCGGGTGGATCACGAGGTCAAGAGATCGAGACCATTCTGGTCAACATGGTGAAACCCCGTCTCTACTAAAAATACAAAAAAAAAAAAATTAGCCAGGCATGGTGGTGCACGACTGTAATCCCAGCTACTTGGGAGGCTGAGGCAGGAGAACTGCTTGAACCCAGGAGGCGGAGATTGCGGTGAGCTGAGATCGCGCCATTGCACTCCAGCCTGGGTAACGAGCGAAATTCCGTCAAAAAAAAAAAAAAAAATATATATATATATATATATATATGAAGTATATGAGAAAAACATCAAAATCTTACTAGGCAATGTAGAAGAATAGAGGGTGAGTAAGAATAAGAACACTTCTGTTTATAGATTTTATCCAGTTGTCAAGAAAATCTGAGAATTTTTTCTTTTTCTTTTTTTTTTTTCTTTTGAGATAGAGTTTTGCTCTTGTTGCCCAGGTTGGAGTACAGTGGCGCAATCTCAGGTCACTGCAATCTCCGCCTCCCGGATTCAAGCAGTTCTTCTGCCTCAGCCTCCCTAGTACCTAGGATTACAGGTGCCCGCCACCATACCAAGCTAATTTTTTGTATTTTTAGTAAAGATGGGGTTTCACCATGTTAGCCAGACTAATCTCAAAACTCCTGACCTCAGGTCCACCTGCCTTTGCCTCCCAAAGTGCTGGGATTACAGGCATGAGCTACAACACCTGGCCAAGAAAATCTGACAGTTTTTTTAAAGAACACCCAGGTACCTTGTTCTTTTCTTTATAGCTTTGTGCTTCCTTTATTTTCTTCTTCTTTTTTTTTTTTTTGAGCTGGAGTCTCGCTCTGTTGCTGAAATTGGAGTATAGTGGTGCAATCTTTGCCCACTGTAGTCTCTGCCTCCCAGGTCCCGGTGATTCTCCTGCCTCAGCCTCCTGAGGAGCTGGGATTACATGTGCATTATTAACTAGAATTCTAATTAGGTTTTTCTTTAGATGTAAAATTTACTTAAAACGAAAAGTGCAAATCTTAATTATATATTTGCTGAGTTTTGACAGATGCAGAATCTTTGCCTTTTGTATCTTTAAATATATCTTTGCCATGTCTGTTGGCTACTGAGTTTTAACTTTGCAGCTGCTGGGTCTTTTTTGCTGATCATACCTTGCCTTTTACTGAAGCAAATACTGGTAAACCTGTTTAGAACTTGAAAAGACCCTTTTCTCTTTACTAATGAATGTGTTCTTGATGTCCCCAAGTGAAATGTTGTTCCTGACTAGGTCATGCCTGTCATTGTGAGTGCTGGTTAAGTATAGATGGATGTCAGAGTGAAGGAAAATGAAGTACTAAGCACCTTGCTAGCCTCTTGCCAGGGTGTAGAATGAGATTGTCCTAATTCTCAAGTGGTTCACTATCTCATAAGGGAGACAGGCAAATTTTGGTACTCTAGGGCAGTGTTGAAGTGCTAGAATAGGGCATGGGCAGAGTGCTTCTTGTTTACTGACGATGGAACTACTGATTCTCTCTGGGACAGTGGGAAGGCTTCGCTTCACAACAAAGATGGCATTAAAGTGATCCATACAGAGTATGGGGCAAGTGTAGTGGGAGTTAAATTGAAAAGCGTCCGGAATGTAGTTGTGAAACCTGTACATTAAGTGGTTTGATTGGAGCTGTGCTTTGGAACTGCTTGTGCCTCAGGCAGTAACTTTCATAGCCTTCTTACTGATACTTGAAGCTTCTTTTCAGCCCATCTCTGCCCTTGAGGCAGACAAAATAATGGCTCCCCAGAGATATCCCAGCACCTGGGAATATTTTACTTTATATTGCAAGATAGAACTTGCAGATGTGATTCAGTTAAGGACTTCAAGGTGGGGAGAGATTACCCTGGATTATTTCGATGGGCCTAGTGTAATCACAGAGATCCTTAAAAGTGAAAGACAGCCAGGCACGGTGGTTCAACCTGTAATCCCAGCACTTTGGGAGGCCAAGGCAGGTGGATTACGAGGGCAGGAGATCGAGACCATCCTGGCTAACATGGTGAAACCCTGTCTCTACTAAAAATACAAAAAAAAAAAAAAAAAAAAAAAAAAAAACTAGCCGGGTATGGTGACACATGCCTGTAGTCTCAGCTTCTCAGGAGGCTGAGGTAGGAGAATTGCTTGAACCCAGGAGGTGGAGGTTGCAGTGAGCCGAGATTACACCATTGCACTCCAGCCTGGGGGACAGAGCAAGACTCTGTCTCCAAAAAAAAAAAAAAAAGTAAAACAGGTGGGTAGCCAGACACGGTGGCTCACGCCTGTAATCCCACCACTTTGGGAGGCCAAGGTGGGCAGATTACCTGAGTCTGGAGTTTGAAACTAGCCTGGCCAACATGGTGAAACCCCGTCTCTACTGAAAATGGAAAAAAAGTTAGCTGGGTGTGGTGGTGGACACCTGTAATCCTGGCTACACAGGAGGCTGAGGCAAGAGAATCACTTGAACCTGGGAGGTGGAGGTTGTGATAAGCTGAGATCATACCATTGTACTCTAGCCTGGGCAACAGAGCAAGACTCCATCTCAAAAAAAAAAAAGAAAAAAAAAACCACACACACACACACACACACACACACACACACACAGGTGGGGGAGAGGTGAGCAATCAGGGAACTCTAACCATGAAAGACAGGCACGGAGAAATGTGTCATTGCTGGCTTTGCAGGTGGAGGAAGGGTCAGGAGCCAAGGAGTGTAGATGGCCCTAGACACTAGATGGGGCAAGGAAATAGATTCTTATCTAGATCTTCCAGAAGGAACACCACTCTACCAACACCTTAATTTTAGCCCACCAAAACCTGTATCAGACTTCTGACCTCCAGAACTGCTATATAATAAATGTGTGTTGTTGAAAAACCACAAAGTTTTGATAATTTCCAGCAATGGAAAACTAATGCCAGTCCTCTGTCCTTAAGGGTTTACCAAAGCAAAAATGGTCTTCCTTTCTATATTTTGACTTTGCTTCAGAAGAAAAATTGAATGATTATAAATATTTTTTGTGGCCACATGTGGTAGAAAGTACAGACTTTATTGTAACACTCATTTTCACAAACTGAATTATAGTCTTTGTCTCCTAGGAGAGTTTGCCATTTGGAGGTGGGAATAAACATCCCCTCTTTGCAAATGTAAAGCTCCGTTGTGGAACGGCTCCGTTCCTCACCCTTGTTCCAGTTTCTGCTTCCCCGGGACGTCTTGCAGGTTTCCCCAACCACGTTCCTTTCTCCATTCTGTTCATGTCCTTGGCACTACACTTTAAACATCCTTCCATGGTTACAGTCTGTTTGAGGGAGGGAAATTGTTCCCACATTCGCGTTCCTAATGTCTTAAAGAG